GAATGATTTAGAACCACACAAACTTTACCAATTAAGGTATGTGACAATCTTAGTGGGACAGACTAAAAAGGTAAATTTGGACAATCATAGTGGAACGGAGGGAGTACTTTATATCAATTGTGAAAATGTCAATGACACGGAATGTGAATGACGGCAAAATAATATTGTACTATGTACATAACAATGTCAATGACATGGAAATGTCAATGTGCTAATGACATTGTCATTGATAGGTAATATAAACACAAACCTAACTACGGTCAGGGGCAGAACCAGGGGGAGCGAGCCGGTGCCAGCGCCACCCCTTCGCCGGAGTTTTTTTAGTATTAGTATCAGGTTTTTTGACTGGCGCCCCTTCATCTTCTTCACTGAGATCTGCCTTGCGCCCCTGCTACTCTGCGAGATCCAGCAAACCAGAAGAATCGCCGGTGCAATCTGTTTCTTTTTAATTAAATCAATATGCCAAACGACGTCGTTTGGTTAAGTGCACAGGAAAAGTAGAAACGACGTCGTTTGGCTATGAAATTGATATACGCGTTTGACCTTCCCGTTTCCCTCATTTCGCGTTCCTCGGCTTATTCAGACTTCTTCCGCCGTCCTCCAAAGTTCGCAGACTGCAGAGTGCAGACGGGCGACGGCAGAACCGCAGACGGTCGTGGACTCGTGGATCCTTCCAGTATTGAAACGTCGACCTTCCACCTTCATCCAGAGTTCCGTAGACGGCTTCGTGAGTTCTTCACTCCTCTCTCGCGTCTAATACAAGCCGCCGGCTGCCCTAGTGTGTTTCTGCGTTCATTCCGAAGTAAGGCCAGTAGTCTGGGCTAGTAATTAATTTTAAAATTGAAATCTGTTTAATTACTTTATTTCGTTATTTGCTTTAATTTAATACAAGTATTTGAGTTGAAATTGGATTGATTAATTGCTTTAAGGTTTAACTTTTTTTGCAAGATTATTGATTAATTAGTTTAATTGCTTTAAGGTGTAATTGATTAATGGCTTGAATTGGTATACCGTAAAAAGTTGAAATTGATTATGCAATTTTTTATTAATTAGTTTCATTGCTTTAAATTTTAATTTATTATAACTATTTAAGAATTTGAATTGAAAAGTTTTTTAACTTGTTAGGTTAATTGTGTGATCATGTCTATTTTATAATTTGTAACACGAGACGTTGGATCTTCTAGACGAGATAACGAAGAAAATAGTAGAGAAAAACATTCTCGTGTTGAATATGATCCAAATGATGTTTTGTCTGGATTATGTAAACCAATCAAAGATTATAATTCTTTTATTAAAGACTAGGTTCGGAGAGAATATTTAACAAGAAGTATGTCTAGACTGATTGGTCATGTATAACTTAAGAAAGTCTATGGTCGGGCAGCCACCCCTTTATTTTCGTTCTGGTTCCGCCACTGACTACGGTATTGTAATGCCATTGTATATGTGTAAAATTGACATGTGATCATTTAATGTCACACAATGAAACATTACAATAAAATAATTTTACAGAAGGGTTAGTAAAAATATATCACAAAATTAAAAATAGTGTCAATATCATAAAAATGTCAAAATAGTGTTTACTTTTTATCAAAACAATGTCACAGTACTGTTATGTCATTGTAACTTTATGTGATTGTCCAAAAAATGCAATAACATCCAGCAAAAAGACATGATTATTAATAATGTCATAAGTAAATCGTAGTATTGTTTATCAAATTATAATAAATGAGTTTTTTTGTGACAATTTTCTTACTACACTCAATGATGAGACCCAAAAACAACAAAAAAATCTCAACCCACAAACACAAAAAGGGAGTACGTTAAAGAGTTATACGAATAGGAGTATATTGATCTACAATTCACATACACGTACATCCATATATGTACAGTTTGGAGTTAATGTGATAAAGCTTATCTAATGTGATAATGCTCAGTAACAAACTATCGTAAGACTGGGGATAATACCCAGCTATATACACGTGCATGTGATATATTAAAGATAAATGATAATAATAAATAATAATTATGCTTCAATACGCCCCCGCAAGATAGAGGATCCGTTGGATACTCCTAGCTTGGACCGAAAGTGTTGAAATGGTGTCTTGCCACGTGGTTTGGTGAGTATATCAGCAATCTGAAATTTATTGGATATATGCTGAACTTGCAACTGACGACGCTCAACCAGTTCACGCACAAAGAAATAATCCAAAGCTAAATGTTTCATCCGAGAATGAAAAACCGGATTGACACACACATAAGTGGCACCTTGATTGTCACAGAATAGTCGTGGGATGGACGGAAGTGATACCCGAGCTCCGAAAGTAAATTACGTATCCAGATCATTTCAGCACTGGCATTTGCAACCGCCTTGTATTCGGCCTCTGTAGATGAGCGCGAGACTGTTTTCTGTTTTGCGGATTTCCAGGAAATAATATTGTTACCCAGGTAGAGTACATAAGCAGTAGTAGAATGCCCCCCGTCATGAATACCGCCCCAATCGGAATCCGAGAAGGCGGATAAAGCTAATGAGGAAGCCCGATGGAGAAAAAGCCCATAATCCAATGTGCCTTTGAGATACCGAAGTATCCGTTTAACTCCTTGCCAATGAGTATCCGTAGGAGCATGCATAAATTGGGAGAGCCTATTAACCGCAAAAGAAATGTCTGGCCGAGTAAAAGATAGATATTGTAATAATCCAAGTGTGCGGCGGTATTGTGTATGGTCAGTGGAAGGTGTGCCATCCAGGAGAGAAAATTGCCCTTTGGAGCTCATAGGAGTTACTGCTTCCTTGGCCTCATGCATGCGACATGTCTCCAAAATATGGAGAATATATTGTCGTTGGGACAAAAAAATGCCAGCCTTCGTAGGAATGACCTCTACTCCAAGGAAATGATGTAGGCTGCCGAGGTCTTTTACAGAAAATCGCTTGGTGAGCTGAAGTACAAATGATTCAACCGCACTTGAGTTATTACCTGTAAGCACAATATCGTTTACATAGACTAGAAAATAGATGAGTACACCATGAGATGAGTAAACAAAGAGTGAATTATCCGCTCTAGATTTACAAAAGCCCACTGAAAAGAGAAATCGGGAGAGTTCCATATACCAAGCTCGGGGAGCCTGTTTAAGCCCGTATAAAGCCTTGTGTAACTTACAAACATGCATGGGAAATTTAGGGTCACGGAATCCAGGAGGCTGCAACATGTATACTTCCTCCGTCAACCGACCATGCAAGAATGCATTATTAACATCAAGTTGCCGAAGATTCCAATTCCGTCATACGAATAGTGGCAGGCTTGGTTACCGGGCTAAATGTCTCAGAATAATCACGACCAGGTTGCTGTAAAAATCCACGAGCCACTAAGCGAGCTTTATACCTGGCTATGCTACCATCAGCATTTTGCTTTATGCGAAACAGTCATTTGCATGAGATGGGTGTTTGAGTGCTCGGTGGAACCAAGCTCCAGGTGCAATTTCTTTGAAGAGCCTGCATTTCTTCTTTCATGGCAGAGACCCATCTTGGATCAGATAAGGCCTGTTTTACACTGGTGGGTTCTAAAGCAAGCGGTACCGGGTGATGGGTTATATTATTTAGGAAAGGCCCGCCAATGTATTTTCGGTTTGGGATTCGGGTACGAGAGGGTCGTGGGGGGAGGGAGGGAATTGTAGGGTCAATATTATGGTCAGGTGGGATGGTAGGAGTGGATGTGGGGTCAATTGGGGGAGTGAGGGACTCATTAGGTGACGTGGAGAATTGAGCTCCTGTATGCATAAAAGGGGTGGGGTTAATTGGTTGGCTAACTGATGAGGTGCGGGGGGATGAATTTGGATGATATGGGGATGGTGTGTGATTAGAAGAGTCTGTTGGTGATAAGGATGAGAGGGACACGTGGGTGGAGGGAGTCTGGGAGTTGGCAGATGGGGGAGGCTCATGTGGCTGAATATTTGGGGGATTAGTGGATGGGCTAGGAGTTTGATAAGGATAAAGTTGAAATGGGTTTTGAGTGGGTGGGATGGATAATGTTTGGCTAGAGATGATGCGGGGATTTGGGGAATGGGGCGAAACAACCGGGACTGAGAGAGGGGGGTGCATGCATGCGGATGTGGGGAACCCGCCATTAGGTGGACTATTATTATTTTGAGATTGGAATGGAAAATTATTGATAATAAACCGACGTGACGACTTGTGTAGATTTTTTTAGACACTGGGTCGAAACAGTAATATGCAGACTGAGATGGAGAATATCCAATGAAAACACATGGAACAGATCGAGGCTTAATTTTAGATGTATTATATGGTCTCAGCCATGGATAACATAAACAACCAAATGGACGCAACTTATTATAATTGGGTGGACTGTGGTGGAGCTTTTCATACGGTGTAGCAAACTTAATAGCAGAATTAGGTAGTCTATTAATAAGATATGCAGCCGTCTGAAAGGCATATGACCAGAAGGACCTAGGTAACCCAGAATAGTGAAGAAGAGCTAGACCGGTATCCACAATATGACGATGTCGACGTTCTGCCAAACCGTTATGCTCAGGAGTGTGGGGTGGTGACGTGAAGTGAGATATCCCATGTTGATTCAGATATGAACGTAGTTTGATATATTCTCCACCATTATCGGAAAATAGAGCTTTAATAGGATAATTAAGATATTTTTCAACGAGACGGTGGAACTGAGGAAACACCACTGATACATCTGATTTATTTTTAATGGGATATAGCCAAATGTATCTAGTGAAATAATCCACAAAAATGACATAATATTGAAAACCATCAATAGATATGTCAACAGTACTCCAGACATCAGTGTAAATAAGTTCAAGTGGATTGGAGGCATGCATAGTGTTAATAAAAAATGGCAACTTGGTGCTTTTATTAATATAGCATAAGAAACAATGAGACTCACAAACTGACGCATCACATGGGATTACATTTTTATTTTGACTACGTAACAAACTAAAAATACGACTTGACGGATGGCCCAAAGTATGATGCCACGACGACTGAACTGAACGTTGCGTGAGATGAATTTGTGGAGACAAATGAGACGAAGCATAATAGACATCATGGAAGTTCTCCCCGCGCATGAGCACCGCCCCCGTGTGTCGATCCTTAACAAGAAAATGGGTAGAGAAAAATTCAACAGAAACTGGGTTAGTTTTGCAAAGTTTAGCAACGGAAACCAAATTTTTTTTAAGACGGGGCACACACAAAACATTAGATAGGGATAAGGGACGGGAGGTAGTGGGTATAGTGGTAGAACCAGTGTGAGTAATAGTTAGGGCCTTACCACCACCAAGACGGACCTCATCAGGGCCGCCATATGCGGCAAAGTTGGGAAGAGTCATAGCATCGAATGTAACATGATGTGATGCTCCACTATCAAATAGCCACTGTTGGTCTCCGTGGGAAGGCATAGTAGTCGTTGTGTGGACAGCCGGGCCACCTCCACCTGTAGAGGGAAGCACATGATTGTCTCTCAAAAATCTTTGCAGCTTACGGCAATATTTAGCTTCATGTCCCGGTATCTCACAAAAACGGCACACAACACCGTTGGAGGAGGATCTGTTCTGACCGGATGAGCCACCACGCCCACGGCGGCCAGAACCATACTGACCACGACGATCCGCCATATGAGTAGAGCGACGATCTGCTGACCCCATATTGGATCCAAATGTACGTCCAATAATTTGGGTGTTGTTGGCAGTAGGTATAGTGGAGTCCACAGATGAGGCTGCCTCCTGCAATTTTTGTTCATGTTCTAAAAGTATATCCTGGAGTTCAGAGAGCGGTAATGCTGAAGAGCGGACCCTAATAGCGGATGTAATTTCGCTATAGTCAGATCCGAGTCCATTTAGGATATTGATCACCAAGTCCTCTTCCGGAACAGGGTTCTGAGCCAGTGCCAAAGCCTCGGAAATGGCGAACATTTCCGCAATGTATTCGGTGATGGATCAGCCGCCTTTCTTGGTGCGAGACAGAGAGGTCTTGAGGGAGATAATTCGCCCCCGTGAAGTGCTAGGATATGTAAGGGAGAGTTTATCCTAGGCCTGTTTGGCCGTGGTGGCCGATGAAATCAGTGGTTGGATAGCGTCGGAGCAGCTGCCAAGTAAGGCACTGATGATGGTACGATCTTGACGGTACCAAATGACATAACATGGATTGGGCTGGGATTTGGCTTCATCTGTGTATAGATCGGGAACAGTGAGTGAGCCATCAATGTAGCCTTCTAGGCCGATACCAACAAGGGCCGAGTGAACTTGACACTTCCAAACGGGGAAGTTGGAAGTGGTAAGCTTGATAGGGAAATGAGTTGATGCCGTGAGAGGCACAACAGGTGTAGTTGATGTGATAGCCATGGATGGATCGGAAAAAAAAATTAAGCTCGTGAGAGAAGGGCTCCTGATACCATAAAGAGTTATACGAATAGGAGTATATTGATCTACAATTCACATACACGTACATCCATATATATACAGTTTGGAGTTAATGTGATAAAGCTTATCTAATGTGATAATGCTCAATAACAAACTATCGTAAGACTGGGGATAATACCCAGCTATATACACGTGTGATATATTAAAGATAAATGATAATAATAAATAATAATTATGCTTCAATATATGTTATGCTGAACAATTTCGCTATGAGTGTTTAATTACAATGGACGGCAGCTGTGGAACGATTGGTTGGAGATGATGGTGAGTGGGACAAAAAACATCTTTTGGAGGGGATAGATTGGTTCTATTTCCAAGGCTAGGTACCAGCTCAGGAAGATTGTTCGTGTTGTTGATTTCTTTCCTCCAAGCCAATTCAACATCACCACAACAAAAAAACGCAGATCTGCTGCAATGGAGGCTCGGGAGAACTTGTTAAGGGAAATAGGGAGCTGTCAATGTTGAACTCAAACAATGAAAACACAAAAGAAAAAATGGATGCAGCACACTTTCATTCATGCGTAATGGGCTATAAATAGCCATGTACAAAGACTTAACAAACATGCTTAAAAATAGCAAACTTAACTCCTATATGAACGTGTAATACTCCACGTTTAACAACCACAAACAGGATAAATGAAACAGCTCCTAGAATTAAGCTAACACCACATGACTTATTCAACTTATGAATTATCAAACAAATAATGTATAAAGAATAGAATTTCCATGTGTGCATGGCCACGTATGCACACACGCACACCTTCTTTCAAGCTTTGATCATATCTCAACACCTCCCCTTGATCCAAGCTTGACCATACCAATTCTTTCCATGAAATATTGGTGCTTTTTCTGAGTTAAGGACTTTGTGAACAAGTCTGCATTCTGAGCTTCAGTTCCACAAAACTGCAATGAGATTTCTTCCTTTGCTACCAGCTCCCTGATAAAATGATGTTGGACATCTATGTGCTTGGTTCTAGCATGGAATGCAGGGTTTTTAGTCATGGCTATAGTGGACATGTTGTCACACCATACCTGAACACTTCCTTCTTGTTTACAACAAAGATCCTTCAATAGTTTCTTCAGCCAAAGAGCTTGTTTAGCTGCAGCACCAACAGCTATATACTCTGCCTCAGTAGAAGATAGGGCCACAGTATCCTGCTTCTTTGAACTCCAAGTAATTGCCCCAGATCCTAGGTCAAATACTGACCCAGAAGTACTTTTTCTATCATCTATGCAGCCTGCCCAATCACTATCTGTATAACCCTGCAATGAAAAGTGCTTCACACTTTCATACAAAATGCCATAGTCCAAAGTTCCAGCTACATACTTTAGAATCCTTCTTGTTGCTCCAAGATGCTGCCTTGTGGGAGAGTGCATATACCTGGAAACAACACTCACACTATATGCAATATCTGGCCTGGTGTTTGTCAGATAGTTCAGACCACCTACCATACTCCTATAGAGTTTTTCATCTGCATACTCAGTGCCATCATTCTTCTGCAGCTTTTCACTAGTATTCATAGGTGTTTTAGCAATTTCACACCCTTCCATGTGAAATCTCTTGAGCAGATCAGTAGCAAACTTTCTTTGACATAAGAAAGTTCCTGTCTTTCCTTGTTTAACCTCCAAACCAAGGAAATACTTCAAAACACCTAGATCAGTCATCTCAAATTCCCTCTTCATAGAATTCTGAAATTCTTCTAGCATTATATGTGAAGAACTAAAGTATATGATATCATCTACATAAAGGCAGATTATTAGATAGTCAGACATACCTTTCTTCTTCACATATAATGTAGGTTCATTATCACTTCTCTTAAACTCATTATTGAGGAAGAATGAGTCAATTTTGCTGTACCATGCTCTTGGTGCCTGCTTCAGGCCATATAGGGCTTTCTTCAGTTTATACACCTTGCCTTCTTCACCTTTGATTTCAAAACCTTGGGGCTGCTCCACAAACACTTCTTCAGTAAGCTCCCCATTCAAAAAAGCTGATTTGACATCTAACTGATACACAGGTAGTGTCCTTTGTGCAGCCACTGCAAATACAGCCCTCACAGTTTCAAACCTTGCCACAGGAGAGAAGGTTTCCTCATAATCTATTCCTTCCTTCTGTGCATAGCCCTTTGCCACTAGTCGTGCCTTGAGCTTTGAGATGCTGCCATCTGGATTATACTTTATCCTGTACACCCATTTCAGCCCTATCACATTCTTTTCACTTGGCAGATCCACAAGTTCCCATGTATCATTCCTCTGAATGGAATTGATCTCCTCCTTCATGGCTTGTTGCCATTCATGATGGGTAGCAGCCTCCTCAAAGTCTTCAGGTTCACTAGCAAGAAGAGCAAGATCACAGGATTCATAAATATCAATAAGAGATCTTACTTTTCTTGGAGGTGAATCACTGCTTGAGGTTGAGTGAGATGATGGTGAACTCTGAGGTGTTGGTGGTGGACTAGGTTGACCTGTTATCTCAGTTGTTGCATGATCTTCCTCCAAACTGATGGTTCTTTGCATGCCCTTGCTTTGGTGATCCTGCAGCTTCCAATCCCAGCATGATTCCTCATCAAAGATAACATTTCTCCCAATGATTATCTTGCCAGTATGAGGATTGTATAACCTGTATGCCTTGGACTGAGTAGAGTATCCAATGAAGATACACTTTTCAGCCTTATCATCTAGCTTAGCTCTTAGGTTGATAAGAGTATAAGCTATGCATCCAAAGACTCTGAGATGACCAACTGAGGGCTTCTTCCTCCTCCAAACTTCAAATGGGGTCTGATTCTTCAAAGCTCTTGTTGGTGAGATATTGAGTATATATATTGCAGTTTGATCGGCTTAAACTTGCAAGTGTACAAGTGCCGATGTAGTAATAAAAACCGGTAAAAATACCGAGTCGAACACGAGGAAACGTTGTTTATATGATTCAAAAATTGAGAATATAATTTGTAAAAGACTTGGTAAAAGAGTAAAGATTTTTGGTTTTTCAAGTGATAATAAAAGCAACCAAGGGTTCGGGATTACTCCTAAACGACTCCTAGCGGTTAATGTATATTCTTTCACCAATTCTTATGAGTGGAATGTCGCTAAAGTATTCTAACTCCTGTTACGGCAGCGAGATTGTGATTAATTCTACGTGTGAATCCCGTCACGGTTCACATTCATCTAAAATTAACCCCATTGAAGATTAGGACATTATTACAACCACCATATTCAATTGAGGTATATTTCTATCCACAATTAGAATATGTCTAGCCTTTAAGTGCACGGTTTATAACTCAACGTTAATTGCTCAAATAAACCCAACGATATAATCATACGTTGTACACCGTAGTCATACACATTAAAATATAAAGGAAAGATCATAATAATTTGGTTGAGAACATACATCAAACACCTAGAGTGCGTAAAGTTTCATCCCTAACCTTGGCTATGGAAAATTAGCTAGAGCAACTCATAATGAAATTACAAGTATTGAAATGATGAAATACAATGAAATACATAAGAAGATAATACCACAACTCCAAAGCTATGGTGGATAATGGGATCCCCAAGTGTAGAACTTCTCCCAAGACCAAGGGGTTGATCTTGGAGTGCTAAAATGGAAGTAAAGTGTATGGAATATGGAATATCACTTGAGAGGGCTTCCATATGCTTAAATATTGGGTCTTCAACGGCCATTTTTGGACAAGGAAGCAAGCTCCTTAATGGGGTTTGGAGCTTCTCTCGAATGATTGTGATGACCGTTGCCTGTTTTAATCAGTGCCAGACGAAAACCGGGCGACATTCGCAAAAGCCGGGCGGCTTTTGCGCGTTTAAAATAGCCTGCCTTCGCTCCAGGGCCCGAAAACCGGGCGCCATTTACAAAAGCCGGGCGGCTTTTGTAATTTAATTCTGAACAATTCATTCGGCGACCAAAAGTCGGCCGGGTTTTACGAAAGCCGGGCGGCTTTCGTCCTTTCTTGCTCCGGATCAGTTTTTCCAGTTTTGGATGCGAAAATGAGCTTGGGGACCAAAGGCCGGCCGCCTTTGGCATAAACCGGGCGGCTTTCGTCCGTCTTGGGCCTTTTTGTGGTCTTTATTTGTTCCTCGGGATGCGTTTGGTTGACCTTTTTCCGTCGGTTTCTTCGTGTGTATTCTACCATCCTTGTATTTGATCCAATCGTTGATTTAGAACACTTCTAGCAAAACGAGGCAGATGTGTGAAGATTTTATTCTTTTTACACATAAAAGCGTTTTAAGGTGAATATATAAAACACGTTAATAAAACGCTTATCAAATACCCCCACACTTGAGCTTTGCTTGTCCTCAAGCAAATTTCGAAACTTTCTATGAAAATATTAAGGCAAAACGTTGAGAAAAGTTTCTTTTGAAAAAGGGTTTGAAGGACAAGGGTTTTGCTAAAATATTTTTCAAAAAATATGGACCAAAAAAGAACAAATTTTTTTTTTTTAAATAAAAACCTTGCATATTTTTCAAGTATAAAGTCACCCCCCCACACTTATTCCACATTGTCCCAATGTGAAGCACAAGAGTAATTAAATGCAAAGCAAGAAAATAAGCAATCAAACAACACATAATAGGCACAAAAGTAGCACAAGGAGTTTAAAGAAAAACAAAGAAAAGGTGGTTCACGTTTAGTATTTTTAGTACACTTCCCTTTTCATAACCTACTCATCCCCTTCATTTCCATCTCCTTGGGGAGGGAAATAAAAGTGCGGGTCATAAGGTGGCGGTGGTGGAATGCTGAAGTGCCGCCCTAA